GGGGAGAACTCCAGCATGTTTCTCTTGTAGAGAAAAATCATGACTTCGAAGTACATGAAAGGAAGTGTTCTTGAATAATCTTTTCAATGGTTAAGATATTGTATGGTCGATTTCTTTGTAGTGAGAATAATCAAGTTACTCCTCGACGAAGTTTTAAGAAGGTAATCCATTTCCACGTTTTGCATTTTTCCAAATAAAATTTCTTTATCCAGCTTCCTTTCGATTCAAACTCGAGTTGGTAACAAAGTGTTAGAACTTTTGAGAACTCAGTCTACTGAGTTCTGTGAACAAAATGAAGTCATGAATTTAGATTTAGGCAACATAATTAGAGTTGCAACCTTTTTCTGCATGAAAGTGTTTCGGTGGCGCATGCTCTCGAACATTGGCATTGGATAGAACCTTTTTTTTATCTGTATGTACGGCCAAATTATATCTTGTACCATCGTTTTAAAACCCAAATTGTTAGACTAGTACGTTTGGATTAAGGTTTGAACCGGTTTAGATTGAAAAAAAAGGTCTAGATTAATTTATCGACTTGGGCTTGACCTGATCAAAGCTTAATTATCAACATGTTGAATTTTATTTTTAAAATTTTTTTATCAAAATAATATTTTTTTAATTTTTTTTTAAAAAATTACATGATCAAAACTTCTAATTCATAATTTGAGATTTACCTCATGTTGGGTTTTAATTAACACTATATCTGGAAACTTCATGTTATATATATATATATATATATATAACATTCATATCTGGGAGTAGAGGTAGGGATTGATTTGACAAGATTTAAAGTAGAGGATCTGGTTTGGTTAAAAGCACAAAATAGAGGGACCATGCAACTATGATCTTGACACCAAATTTCATTATTAAAGTGGAAAACCATCTACCATCAACCATCACATAAGGAATAGCGTGCGACCGACGATCACACCCTTTTCTTTTAACTCTTATGAATTGTCACTTAGCTTGATTTCAAAAAGCATAGAAGAAAAATACATGCGTTTGCATGTGAGCTGCATTCGCCTATGACATTGGCCGTACTCCTATCTAGCAAAAGAAATTAAAGTCTAAGAAGAAACGGGGAAAAATTACTAGCTAGTTAACTGTATAGCTTTGAGTTGGTGGAGCTAGACCTACCACACTAGCCAAAATGGATAATCCAATCGAGTCATGACTTCAAATTGGAACTCATCAACAGAATATAGAACCTCCAAACCGAGTTGACTCGTCCCACCATGCTTCTATGCCCACCACGGCTTGTTGTAGTTGGTCCTATATATATATTTAGGAAGACTTTGATCCAAGGCAATAGAAGAAGAAATCGAGAGGCTCTCTTCTTTTTGGTTCAAGAGAAGTTGCATGATGGGGACCTCTTAGTAAGTGAGCATTACTAAGATCCCACTAACTATAATGCTTTCGGAAATTAAGATCGCCCTTAGAAAATTGATATATATATATCAAGGGATATCGCCCTTAGAAAATTGATATATATATATATATCAAGGGCCGTGAAGAAATTGTTAAAGAAATGAAAGGAACGGGTGGCTTGAGCATGAGAGGGAGACATGGTGTGGCCTCTATTTCTTCACAAATGAAGGGGTGATGTCCCACTTTTGATAGACATTCCTCGAAGAAAATGGTCCCAAAAATACTTTAGAAAACACCTTGGATATGTGTGTGGATCATCATGATGATGGTGATGATGATGCTCTCTCCTGACAACCCCTTGCACCATTGATGAACTATCCTCACGTGTGTCATCATCATTTTATGTACCCTTTGGACCAAATAACCCTATAATGTCCACGTGCATTAGGGCTAGGCCCATCTACAACATTCTTAATTTACTCGGCCTTTTTGGTTTTCCCAGAGAAATTACAAGGGGGTAAGGTAAAGAAAAAGAAGAGGGTAAACTCCAAACTTCCCAAATCCCAAGAGAAAGTAAAAGGGGTTAAATTTTCATGTGGGGGAGAAATCATGAGGCTAAAATGTGGGGTCGATTTTCAATTGTGGGGGTGAGTAATGGCATGCACACTAGTTGATTTGACAAATAAATAAATAAATAAGAATCTCTTTTAATGGTTAAGATCTATTATTTACATATATTTTAAATTAAAAACAATACCCACCATTATTAAATTTGATCTAGTTGTACGAGTCAAACTAGATCAAATTTACATAGGACCATATGTGTGAATACTATAAATATTGAAGATGGTATTATTTAAAAAAGAAAATTAGAGTTATTCCAACTGGCCAAAGTTATTAATCATTCTTTAATAATTATAATTAACTAGGGTCAATTTAAAATTTAAAACAGTATTATTTTTTAAAAAATTAATTGCAAGTTATATTTTATTAAAATGTGATTTGCAATGAAGATGTTAATGAAATACAATGCTTAGGGTTTTTATTTTTTTTTATGATAATAACCTCAGTGGACATTGACACCCACAGATTTAAGTTATTTTTTGGAGATTCACCAATATCTAGCAGCCCATCTTTTCATTTGCTTCAGTTGCAACTTACCCACCTCTCTCCATTACCTCCTCGAGTCAAAAGCAAGTTGATTTCCCTGGCCTAGAACAAAGGACTGTTGTGCAACATGCTCGTTTATTGTTTAGATCAATAGTAAATCACGTGATTTGTTTTCTTTCCATTTCATTATTTTCTAATGGTTTTTATAGATTGTTTTTAAATACAACAAGTTAATTAGATTATATTAAGTTAATTTTAATACAATTTAAATTTAAATTTAAATTCAGGATAATAAATAAATTAAATTAAAAAGGTTTTTTATTTTGTCAATTTTATTTTTTTCTTAATTTTATCCTTATTTTTTTTTACTGATTGGCCATCTTACTTCTGGGCTAGCTAAGTTAACTAAATTATTTTAAGGAAATTCTTACATGATTTGATTTTAAATTTAGATTAGACAAAGTGTTGTATTAAAGATTTGTTTCTAAGAACTTTATCTTTTTTTTTAAAAAAAATTATTCTTATATATTTTTTATTAACACGTGATTTGTTTTCTTTCCATTTCATTATTTTTTTTTATAGATTGTTTTTAAATACATCAAGTTAATTAGATTATATTAAATTAATTTTAATATAATTTAAATTTAAATTTAAATTCAGGATAATAAATAAATTAAATTAAAAAGGTTTTTTATTTTGTCAATTTTATTTTTTTCTTAATTTTATCCTTATTTTTTTTTTACTGATTAGCCATTTTGCTTCTCGGCTAGCTAAGTTAACTAAATTATTTTAAAAAAATTCTTACATGATTTAATTTTAAATTTAGATTTAATTTTAAATTTAGATTAGACAAAGTGTTGGATTAAAGATTTATTTCTAAGAACTTTATCCTTTTTTAAAAACAATTATTCTTATATATTTTTTATTAATTTATCGGGTTGTCTTTAAATTTATCAAATTAATAAGGTTACATTAAAAAAAATTATATAATTTAATTTTAAATATAAACTAGATATTAAGTCATGTTATAAAATTTCAAAATTTACACGTTAGACTGGTTTAATAAAAATGTCAATTAGTTTTTTACTTAATATTTTTTTGTTACATTGAAGAAAAAAAATTGATACAACCAAATTCGTAGTGCTGGTTAAAATAGTAATTACCAAATACATTTGCTTTTTACTTACCCAAAAAAAACTAAATAACAAGAAAAATAAAAGAAAAGGGGAGAAAAGAGGAAAATTTTGTTAAACTAGAAATCCGGCTATAACACTGGAAAATAAAACTATTAAATGAAAGCTTTCATCGTTATGGATCTATAAATATTAAATTTAAAACATTTAGTCAGTGAAATAAATAAAAAATCTCAATTTAGATTTTTAGATTTAAAATAATTAATTTTTATTTTTACATTAATTTTTTATTTATATTTAATTTTGTACCTAGAGTTGAGTTAAGTAGGATTTATGGTATATTTATTTTTGAGTGAAAAAAAAAATTAAAATCACAAGTTTTTACATGATATCCGTAACTTGGGCCGAAAACTAGCAAACATGCCCAGATTCCAACAATCGTTGGAGAAGAAGAGGACATAACTAAACCCAGATCAAAGCCTAAGTTAACTTGGATAAAGCGCAAATGTATCTGTGCTTAACTCCAAGCCCAGATGCCTTATTTAGAGGGTTTTCTTTTTATTTTTTATTTTATTTATGTTATGTACATTGTAAAATACAATATTGCAAAAAAAAATTATATATATCTGTGGGCGTCGTGAGTGTTTTTACAAATTTTTTCATTCTTATGTAACTTTTTTTATATTATTTTATTTCCATACTATCATTTTTATTAAATAAATATAAATCTTTTCATGTTATTTTATTCTTATACGACTGTATTATTAAATCAATATAATTTTCTTCATGTTATTTTATTCCTACAATATCATATTATTAAATCAATATTGAAAAAAAGTACTTAATAAAAACGAAGCATAAATTTATTTGTGTATTTCTTGATAATTAAATTCAATGAAAAAAAAATTAGGACAAGCAAAAAACATAAAGAATATTTATAATGTTGCGATAAGCCTAATGAACCATCCCTGCCACTTCTCCAACGGAGAAAACAAGGCGCTTGTAGCGTTATATTGCGACACCCATGCCAATCTCAGTATAATTCAGCAGTCGGGACTACAGATGTGCAACCAGCATTCTTGCAAATATATTAAAATAATATTTTTTTTATTTTTAAAAAATAATTTTTAATATTAACATATAAAATAATCTAAAAATATATTAAAAAAATAACTTTAAACAAAAATTATAAATAAAAAAATCAAATTTTTAAAACGCACAGTTTTTCACAAACACTGCCGTAGCTTTCCATGTTCACGTACTCATCACTACATGGGCTCATCACAATCCACAATAGCACTCGGTTTTCAGTACATCAACCAACACATCAATACAAGAAGAAAAAAAATGTGATGCTGTGGTGAACAAATACATCAGATGCGATTGTAGAAATGAATTGTATTCAGACATGTTACAAGGCGAATCACAACTTTGAAGAGTTATAGTATTTTTTTCAAAGCAAACTCGGTTTTTTCATATAAAAACTATTGATGCAATCCATAAAAGGTAATGATGTAATTCTAATGCATGTCAAAACAAAGAATTGATGGGAGTCAGTTAATCATCCTAGTAAGATGCCCACCTGAGAATTTGGGTTCCACAAAATCCCTTTTCAGGGACACGCCAATTTAAACAACTCCAGCTGATTCATGAATGCATTTGGTTTAAGAATTTGAAACAACCCGTACAAGGAACAAGTTCCTTGATGACAAACTTGCTCCACCTAGAACCAACTACCTAAGTGTGTATCTTCTGAAAGCCATGCAGCAAAGTTCTGGAGTCAACAAGGGAGTCGTGTTTCATAAAGCATTCTGACCTCCCTACTTGAAGCTCAGGGCAACATCTTCGTTCATCTGGATGGATGAAGAATTGTGTTAGGCTGAAACTCTAAAAAAGCTTATGTTGAAAATCAGAAAAGCATTCAAACTTACAGATTCTGCGACTTCTTTAGCTTTATCGTCATTAAAACCTAAAGTTTCCAATATCTTGCGACCTGCAGATTCTTTTTCTGACCAAGTCCCCAGAAGTATATGAGTTGTGGTAATTTCTCCACTATCTCCTGCAATTCACATGACAATAAGATGATAATGGTAACTACATACACGTGGACAGTACCCCCACAAATATCAAATCCATTGTTTATGAAATTTCAAATCAAATCATAAATTTTGCACTTTCAAGTTGCCAGCACAAGTAAATTCATGATGACTTTTAAGGATGGAATAAAAAAACCTTTTTTGGGAAAAAGGACCGTGGAATAATGAACAACAAAAGAGCGTTAAAAAGAACGTTATTACAAGTCAAGAAGAAAGAGCTCAAAACTATATAAGAACAAAACACAAAATAAACACTTCTATCGTAAATAATCAGCAGAATTGGTTATGCCAGGCAATAAGCAAAAGAAGATGTTTATTGACTCTGGACTCCAGGTAGGATTAAGAAGTAACTTTAGTGATGCAATTGTACCCTTAGAGACCGAAACTTAGCATAAAGCATGCATAAGCAGGTAACCTCCACCTCCTACAATATCCCACGATCTTTAATCTTATTTTCTTTACATCCAATATGGGGTCAAAAACTTGCAATCTTTTTCATACGGAATAAGGTCGTAGATGAAAATAGTACTAACATAATTGAATTTCATCAAGCTCCAAAAGGTATCATATAAAAAATCAAGCTTCGTAACTTCGTACAACGCCTCAACTTAAAACTAGTATTACCAAATTGAAGTTTCTAAATCACAATCACATTATGTAAACCATGGCAGCTCATTAATCAAATTATCTTGCAAACACATACACAAAACAGAATAAGACATTGCAAGTTCAGATGCAATAGAAGTTAAAAATCACCTGACTTTAGTTTCTCCTCGACAGCCCAATCAAGTGCTCTTTGAGCTTGTTCAGTCAATGGAGGATGCTCAGGACTAAAAAAATACATTTCAGATTTCCCAAGTAAATTCACAGTTTCTTCTCTGACTTTGAAAAAAGTAATCCCATTAGCCCTCAAAAACTTTGCAGCTGGACTAGTCCCTACAACCAGGCACAAACTTCAATAAACCCCGGAAAACAAAAAGGAAGCTACACACCAAAAATGCATAAAAAATCACCAACCCTCAATCAAAATCCCCATTAAAAGTGCATCAGTTCCCGTATTAGGATACTTCAACTTCCTCGCCTCCAGTTCTCCTAACCCAAATGACCTTATCGCTCTTGCTGACCATCTAAAACCACTCAGAAAAACAAGCATTTCCTTAATCAACGGTGAAAATCACACAAAATTCACATAAAAAGCAATCAAGAATCCCTATTTCTCTCTGTTTCTCTTCAAGATTAAAGGAAAATGACTAACTTTGGTATGTTCTGAGATGTATACTTCCTGAAAGAACAGACAAAACTAATCAAGACCCATTTTCCAAAATCCAAAAATAAAAGGACCCAGGTGAACAAAAAGCTTACTTGGTGGGTAGAGTAGATAAAACTGTGACATTCTTTGATGGGTTATTACCCTTACTTGGTGGGTAGAGTAGATAAAACTGTGACATTCGTTGATGGGTTATTACCCTTTATAGATAAAGTTCTCAACTTTGAGTGTGAAATCAATAGCTTGTTGCCATAAAAGGAGCTTAAAGGGAGTGACAAGAGTGAAGAATTATGTGGATTTTCATTGCAAATTTGAGAGGAGCAGATTGAAATTGGGAGAAATGAGATAGTGTTAGAAGCCATCAAGGAAAACCCAATGGTGGGTTTTGATCGAGAGAGAGAGAGGGAGAGAGGGTTTTATGGTCTCTGAGTTTAAAAATGGAGGGTGGTGCTTTTGGGGTTGAAACTTGCAAGAGGATGCTCCTCTCTAACGTTAAAAGCCAAGGATATACGACGTGTCGGGCAATGATGTTGGGGTAATGATAAATGGTTTGACGAGTCGTTTGACATAGTGATGAAATCACAACTTCTCTCTTTGCTTTTTTCTTAGTATTTTTTTATATGAATAATTGAGTCCATCTCTCTAATCTGATGAATGATATAACATCTAACGAGTTGGTGTGAGAAATAAAGTGTATATTTTATTTTATTTACATAATTTTAAAAAATTTAAATATTTTTAAATATATCAAGTATTTTAAACATGAATATAAAAATTAATTATATTTAACATGATAATTTTATGACTTGTTATGATGAAATCTGACTCGAATTGAGTTTTATATCAAATCAAATTAAAAATTGACTCATTTAAACTTGATTATTTTAAAGAATTAATTTGTAATCTGATTAACAAAATCAAAATTTAAGTACTATAAGTTTAATTTTTAAATTTTTTTTTTTAAATGACAATATTTTTTATTGATTTATAATTAATTTGAGTTATTTTGTTTATAAAATGTTTAATAATATAACAACCGTTACTTTTCAAAAAAACTTATTTAAAAATATATTAAAATAATATTTTTATTTTTAATATTATCACATTAAAAATATTTTGAAAATATAACTAGATTTTAAATTGTGTATATTTTATTTTATTTACATAATTTTTAAAAATTTAAATATTTTTAAATATATCAAAATATTTTAAACATAAATATAAAAATTAATTATGTTTAATATGATAATTTTATGACTTGTTACATGAAATCTGACTTGAATTGAGTTTTATACCAAATCAAGTTAAAAATTAATTCATTCAATAACGAATTAATTTGTAATCTAGTCAACAAAATCAAAATTTAATTAATATAAAGTTTTTTTTAAAATGACACTATTTTTTATTGATTTGCAATTAATTTGAGTTATTTTGTTTATAGAATGTTTAATAATATAACAATAGTTACATAACAACCGTTACTTTTCAAAAAAACTTATTTAAAAATATATTAAAATAATATTTTTATTTTTAATATTATCACATTAAAAATATTTTGAAAATATAACTAGATTTTAAATTAAAATAAATAAATTTTCATTTAATACTGTTTAGAATTGAATTCCAAATGCTGCAGTAATTCATGGCTTCGATCATGACCGGATTTTATTACAAAGGTGTTTTGCAACATATGTTGTCCATCTCCTCACATAGAATATCGATCAAAAATTGAAAGTCCTTGCCTTTCACAGCATAAACTCCGAAGACTTAATGGGAACACTGCCCTAAATGATCGAATTAATCCCTCGAGACAAGTTTTTATGATTGAAATGGTGGTGGATATGGAGTTGCTGAAGAGGATATGGGAAGTACTTTCATGATATTCTCGAGGAAAGACCGTTGTTCGTCTCAAATTTTGTTCCCATTTGATATTGCATTTCATACGGAGTTAGGATAAAATTAAAAATATATATATTTTAAAATGATTTTTTTATATTTCTGGATATTTTAATATTTTAATATCAAAAAGATTTAAGATAAAAAATATTAATTTAATATATTTCTAAGTAAAAAATATTTTAAAAAATAATTTTTACATTTTTTTAAATTTTTAAACAAGATAATTCAGGTCGATTATCAATCAATCTGAAAAATAATATTATTTTTTAAAAAATAATTTTTTATAAAAGAATCACATTACATCTCACTCAAATTTTCACCTGATTGACGCATCCACCCAGGTGGAATTTTGCTGTGATCGTTTCAAAAGGTCTCGGATCTAATCCAGCCCCAGCCCAGCAGTCCCTTGATGGTGGTGGTGGTGGTGATTGGACAAGCCCGGTCAGATGGGGCATATTAAACATGGGCTCTTCATGAGCAGGGGGCAAAAAAAAAAAAACTGCGGGCTTGGCATGCAAGGGCTGCTGGTCTCTAAGCAAAGCAGCACTGTCGTTTTTTTCTTACCAATTTATCATGTTGCATCATAACTTTTGTTAATATAGCTATAAAACTTTAGTTGCACGAAAAATCATTTGTTTTTGGAAGTTCAAGATCTTGGCTGTGCTCCATCTAACTAAAATACCAGAGCTCAGGCATATGGTGATTGATGTTTCAAGTTTCATGCATATATTCTAAAATTCAAGATAAAGCAAGTACATAGTAGGTAGTTTAATAGTAAAATTTTGAAATCAAATAATTTGTTTTTTTTTTTAATTTTAGGTTTAAACTACGTGGTTGTTAACATTATAATTATCGAAGATTTACATTGTTATTAATTTTAGAGCTCATAATATTAGTTAAGATAACATCCATATTAATAAAACAAAATTAGAATAAAACATATAAAATATACAACCTAGAGTTACAAATGAGTCACAAAATTTAACCAAGTTTTTTTAAAGTCTAACTGCCCACTTGAACTATGGTCTATTATACTATCTCAATGCTCTGTTAAAACCAAGATTATCAACTCGGACTCTTGAAAGTCCTGAGGCTCAACAAGCCAGCACGCCTAATAAGATAACATCTTAAAATAGAAGATTTGTTGAGATTCTACACAGATTTAACCTTGAATGAGCAGATATATCTTGGAGTCACCTACTACACCTAGATGCATTATCTGTAATCAACTTTGATACATTGCATTGAATGAAAACATGGCCATGTACTTTTTAGGAGAGTACTCTAGGAATTAGTCATGTTATTGTTATTGATAGCGCAGAGACAAAAACCAAAATTAATCCCACTTTTACAGTGACCTGTTATTATTCTAAGCCTTGCTCTCTGTATGAAAATTAGTGTATGGTATTGTAGTAAATATTATAGTTAAGGGAAAGTTCAGATTGCTCATACAACCTTACAAAGGTATCGAGAAGCTAATGCTAGTTCTGTGTCTTCGTGTCTCGATGCATGGGGATTGTTTGGTTATTGAATTTCTTTTAAAAAAATGAAAGACATTGAAAAGGCCTACCAAATACAAGATCCATTTTGAGAAGAGAAGCAGAAAGGCTAAAGACCAGCCCAAATACAGATACAAACATGAAGAGGTTGAATATCCTGGCCCAGTTACCTTTACGTACCTTCACCATACACACACACACATATTTTATAACATCAGCTCAGCCTTTGTTTAAATTCTAAAACTAATAAACGACATCCATACATATTTTAATTTTATTATATTTTAAGAATGTATCACTATAGTACTCAAAATTTCGATTTATAGATTCGGATTTGCTTGCCTTTTTGAGCTTCATCTTTTGTTCATGGAATTTAAAGGGAAAAGGACATTTATTTAAAGAGTAATGTTTTTGGAAAAAATGGATTCTAAAGGAGAAAGAGTCTTTCAAGTCTTAGGTATATAGCACCTTTTTAAAAAAATAAAAAAATCATGAAGATAAAGGCAATGATATATTGCACCTTCTTTTCTTGATCAATATATTCTATAAAATGATGAATTATATGTCATAGTAATTATTTATTAATCTTATTTTTATGTGAACAAGAACAATACACCGTATTTTTCAAGTGGCAAAACTTTTTTCAATAATTATAATAAAAGGATGAGCAAGATAATTAGTTCAGCTCGTGACACAATTGCTCTGAAGAACAATGCTTGCCACATCAAGGTTAGAATTTTACAGCTTACAAATTATTAATAAAATCCTTGTGCCATGAAAAAGAAAAGACCTAAGCACGACCTCCATGCTTTTCTTCACTAAAAGCAGCAGTGGCAGAGACGTAATACGCAACACAAAACAGTCCATGGACAAAGCACAAAATGCCTCCATAAGAAAAGAAATGATGGTGTGTGAAACCACAAGAGGTTCTTGACTTGTTGTTCGACAAAGTGCCAATCGCTAGCATGGATAACCCAGCAGCCAATATGATCCTGCCCAGACAATTAGGTGTATATATGCAGAAACATCATTAATCAACAAGTAATACACTATACTTCTAATTATAGTTAATCTCTGAGAAACTGTTCGGTTCAAGCTACAGAATAAAAAAATAATTTGCTTGTTAACTCAGTTGAGTTGGGAATCAAGAAAATGTTTATACAACTTCACTTACCACGAAAAAAGGAAGCATGCCACAGACAGTTGTCTATGAGGGGAAGCTCTTTGAAGCTCTTCTTGAGAACAAATGCACATGCACCCCCCTAGGAAGTTAGCAATAACATGAGCCAGAACTAGAATCCCCGCTGCAGCTAACCCTAGCTTGAAGGCATCCTCGCTTGGTTCTCTGCACTCAAATATCCAAAGTCTTAGGTGCTTAACCTGTACTAACACACACCCACATGCACACATTATTGACTAAGACAAGATATATTCATATTTTTGAAGTATAAGATCAAGATAACTAATATATCAAAGATAATGCTTTTCTTAAAAGAAAAAAAAGATTGGAAGGAAGGAGGGGTTAACATGCCTTGTTTTGTGCGATTTCTGCTTGGATGCCAAGAATACCAGCTGCTACATCCATGGCAACAACCAACATACAAACAAGTATACCTCCTATTTTAACCATTTTTTTCAGAAAAGGAGCACTTGATCAAGCTGGGTGTCAAGGAAGAAAGAAAACAGAGAACTCTCTCCACTAGCTTCTTGGTTCTAAGATTTAGAAGATGAGAAAGAGGATATCAACTAGGTCTAAAAGAGAATATATCAAGAGTGGTAAAGT